GCATACTTGGATTTCGATCGTCTCATGGAACAGTCTCCCTTTCTGGTGTTACTCCTGTTTCTGGGAGTCTCGACGCTGTAGGTGTGTATATCTATGCAATATTACCAAGATCGAAGGAATTTGACACTTACACTGTTCCATGTAATTTTTGTAGTTGCTGCTCTGTGGTCTGATGCTTTCAGTTTCTTACTTTCTTTACGTGTGACCTTTAATGATTTTTTCTTGCTTGGGTGGTGGAGGTAATGGTGGGGTGTTGCTAGGATGCGTCATCGATTCCTAGTAGCGGATTCAGCAAAAACAAAAACGTATTCTTCTTCTATAAACTTTTTCAATTGAGAAGCTAGCCTAGGAGTGAAAAACAGAACAGACTCGCGCCATTGGTAATGATTCTACTACGGTGCCACAAATTCGCAAGCTGATCCTAAGTAAGCCAAAGAAATAGGAATTAGACCTAACACGATTCCAAAGAGAAAAACTTGACGTAGAACTTCAGTTAGCATTCTTTTCGGTTGCAATGTTTGGTAACTGGCTTGCGGGTGAATTTTGCGGATTTTCTTTGTTACTGTTCCTCAAGAATCATGACAATTAGCATTACTTGCAAAGTAGATTCCCTTCATGAAATTTGTCGAGAAAAAGTGCTGTAGACACACTAAAAGTTGCTTGGAATTAGGAAATTATGGCTACTGCCTCATACGAGCTAGCATATGAATGTCCACAAGCAGTAATACCATTCATTATTGTATGCGACTGTGGTAGAATATTTAGGACTCCTCCACAGACATTATCCGTAGCTTTGTCCTGCCATTAGGATTTGTGTCATGAATTTCTACAAGTTCAACTCATTTGAAAAACATACTATGTAGCCATGCGGCCTCAAGCATAATTTTCCCCAAATTGTTTTTTTGGATCTTTGAATTTGCAGGATGGTTTGCAAAGGATCCCAATGTGCTTCATCGTGTTGGCCATGTGCTGTTGCAGGTTCCATATGCCGCTCAACGCAACCCAAGAAAAATTGTGATAGCAGATGACTGTTTCCAGTCTTCAAAATTTCCGTCAGACCGCATTACTCAGGTGGTGATAAAATCCATCGAGAAACTTTATGGAAGTAGGTCTCCTCTTAATACCTGTTTTAAATTATTGGTGTTACTCTCTTTAGTTATGCTTTTTTTGTTTGTTATCCAGCATTGCTTACTCGGCTCACCTTTCAGGACAAGTCGTGAGGCATGAGAATCTTAGTGATTATTTGAAGTTGAAGATTCCAAGCTTAAGTAATATCAATATGGATCAACTAAAAAGTGAGGGGCCTGAGGGCAAATATTCTCCAGTTGTAATGCTGGGAAGTGTCATGCAGCAGCTTAAAAGGTAAGGTTGGAGTAACACTGAGGAAATAGTCATTAATATGAATGTTGTCTGTTCTTATTCTAGAAAGAGTATGCTTTGCCACATGCGATGCACATCACTTTTACTACGTTCTTTTCTTGTTTATTTTTTAAAACTCTTCACCCTTGCTGTTCTAATTACATTTCTCTGAGCTATGGGTGTCTATGCTACAGTACAAGGGATCATTTACAATTCATGAGGTGATAAGACTAATTAATCACCACGCAAGTTATTCTACTATTCATATACAACTAGAAATAGAACCAGCAAAGACTCTTTCTAGCAATTCACATATTATTATTTAATTAATCACTAGTACAATACCCGTGTACTACACGGGTGGTTGATAAAGTAATTACAATAAAATAAAATAAAAATTATATATTTTGTTGAAGTTGGAAAAAATAAATAAGGAACAATATATGAAAATTTATAATAAATAACTAACTGAATAAAAATATTATTTTAAATTCTAAAAACTAATTTATATACATCATTAATTTCATTTATAATATTTTTATTTAAAACCACATAAGGGATAATATGAACAAAGCACAAAATTTGAGAAGTAAGACTATATGCACATTATAGAATGATGGTAATAAATAGATTTATATGGAATGATTTAAATATATTAAATATGTGTATATATATGGTAATCGGAGCCTAAATTATTTGGTTTAAAAAATTAGTAATTTTTATCCAAGTCATATTACAAAGCATAATATTTTGCCATGTAAGATTACGAACCGTGCGAAGTTGCCACTTAGGCTTAGCCCGTTTTGAAATTATATATATAAGGGGGATTAGTCTTTCATTTATCCAAATTGGTTATTATCCTATCATGTGTTCCTTTTCCTTGATAATCTATATGACAACTATACCCTTTTTGTTTCAGCTTTAATGCTGAAAGGTATTTTTCTACTACAAATGTTGGGGGCAATAAAGACTTTAATATTCAATTTTAAAGAACAAGGGACAAAAATATCAACCCCCAAACCCCCAGATAGAGTTATCTAATTTATGTGTGATTTGTATCCTGCCCAACATTTAGTCCCGGGCAGATATCTACGCAGAAACATTAGAAATGAAGGGATATCTACTTATGTCCTATGATAACCAGCCAAGTAATCAAGGCCTAAATGGCTAAATCTTCAGCTATTTTCTTCTCCAGGGATTTGAGTACATGGATTTTGAATGACTGTGTTCATATTTTAATTGGTTACATTAGAATTCGTCTTACTGGGGCGCAGGCGCTTCTATTTGTAAAGCATCTTCTGATATGATGATGCTTAATTTCATATAATTCAGCATAGAAGTGCAAGTTTGCCTTTGCATGGGCCCCGCTTCTTAGGATGTTAGACGTGGTACTACTTAGGTCTTATAAGTAGCCAAATGTTTTAAATCATGTGCGGATGGTGTTGGTTCACTTATCCAAAAACGCTGTAATCTACATGTTCGTTTAAACATGGATTTCTTACGTGAGACAAACTAATAGAATGCCTACTTCATTTGATCCTGAGTGAAGTAACTCTTTGCCTTTTTCTTGCAGGCATGAATTCAGAGAAAATCATAATGACTGGATCAACTCTGCAAAGCCTACTTTGGATCCTGTTATCTCAGCACAAGTATCTGAAGATTTAGATTTGACTGATGCAGACAGAGAAAAATATCACCATCAGGAGTGAATTGCGTTCAGCTATAAATGCCCTTTTAAAGGTATTGATTTAACATGCTTCGCCTTTCAGATGGCAATCCTTGGTGGTGTGTCCTTTCAAAGTTTTCATTTTTGGCAACCAGTGTATGGTCACTTGGTCAGATTGATGCATTTATTTATCCACTTTCCTGTCTCTTAGTGCTTGAGGCTATAAGTGCCTTCGGAAATTGTTGTTGTAATCTTTAAGTATGACTCTTCAATAATCAGTAGTTTTCAATAGACATAGGATCTTAGGAATAATAATGCTTGCAGTGATAAGATTTTTTTGGTCTCTAAATTAATTGATAACACTCTTGGATATATGTTATTGGGAAATGAACGTTGTATTGATTTCTTGATTTCAATTGTTATCATTGACAGTTTCTTGCTTTAACGAAAATAATTTGTATCCCCATCTCTGGTCTGCTGTTTCTGTGTTGTAATCTGGACATTTTAGTTTTGCCTTTAGGAGAAAGATGAAGTTCTTCGCAAATCACAACTTTGACAAGTACTTTTGACTTTTAAAACCAAGGCTGAGTAACTTTTTAACAACTGGATACTATTCTCCCCCTAGCTGATATACAATAATTGTGATGATTGCTAGTCTTAGAATTGCATGTTAGGTTGGCAGTTTTTTCTTATGTGTCTTGAGTTTGTCATCTTCTGTTGGATTTAGTTTCATATTCCGATATCATTTGCTTTGCATAATTACTTTGACCTAAAATAAAATGACCCATTTCTATTGAGCCACTCCATATGATTCTTTCCCGGCATGATCTTATTGCTGCAATACGAGGTGGTTTAGTTTTGTGGAGGCAAACAACACTGCATCCCTTTTGGTAGATATCCCAACTCCAGTCAAATAAAGTTTCTTAGATTTGGCTTCAGTAGTTCAGTTTGATACTTCCTCACATTTTGGATGATGCTGCTATATGACTTTGGTTTGTTATTTTGTTCTAACCAGGATGATGGAATATTAGTCATTCCTACATCTTTTGATCCTCCTGCAAAACTTGGTGCCAAGGAGATTTCTACGGAGGAATACGTTATTCGGACTTCAAGTCTTTCAAGTTTAGCTAGTATGTCAGGCTGCTGTCAGGTTAATGTCCCTTCTCTTTTCCCATGCACACTTGCTAGTGTAAGATTGAATATCATCTGTTTTCATGCAAGTTGACTTTTACCATTTTAGGTTGTGCTACCTCTCGGAGTCCATGAAAAGTGCCCAGTTTCTCTGTCACTCTTAGCCAGGCATGGGGATGATAGATTTCTGCTGGACGCGCTGCACTCTGTATATGCTTCTTTCCAGGAACTGGCTGATACAGCTGTAAAGCCTAAATCATCTAGTAACGCTGTGACACACGAAACATCAGCAGAGATGGCCAAAGAAAAGGTAAATCTTGAATAATGTTCTTCTTTTTGTTTCTTCGTTTGTTGGGTGCTGACATGAATTGTTTAGCTGTTAATCTTGTGTTAGTTTCATCCCACGAGCCTCCGAAGTCAGACCATATTATGGTGCTATTTCTTTTATTGGTTAATATAGTGTTAGAGATCCAAAGGATCTGATATGGGAACTAATCAAACATTTAAGTTGCAAGATTCACATATCATTGGTGGAGCTGAATAATAAAGAGTGAGTGATCCTAAAATCAGGGAGCTCAAACTTAAGGATTGTCATGTTTTGTTTTCTCATTTAATTTACCGATTTATCTTAGGCTATATATATGGGTCTTTCGCTAGGAATGGAGGAATCAAATATTTCATGAGAAAGAAGAATATCTCTAGGAAGTGGATGTTTATCGACATCCTTGGTTATAACCTTTTACCTTTATTCGAGTTTCTTCTTTTCCATCTCTTCGCTGTACTTTACTCCATCAGATAGTTTGTGAGTTCTCAAAGGCACTCCCACATTTAGTGAATTGATTTGAAATTTTATTGAGTGTTCAAAATGTTACAACAATTGTAACTTTCGCACGTCTTCTGTGGACTTTTAGGCCAATAAATTAAAGTAAGTGACAAGCATTCTCTTGATTGAGAAATTCCTTAGATCGTCTACCTGTCCAGCCTCTAATCTGACAAACCGAATTAGAATAGAACGTATCTACAGTGATTTTGTCATCTTACTTGTTGTCTCATCTCAAGGGTAATCAAGCATTCAAAGACATGCAATGGCAGAGAGCTATTGGATTTTATACAGAAGCCATCAAACTCAATAGCAATAATGCAACATATTACAGTAACAGAGCTGCAGCTTATTTGGAAATTGGAAGGTAGTTCAACTTATAAACCTTTCTATTTTGTTGCACCATATTGACATTTTTATGTGTGTTCCTTATTAGTTTTTCCTTACCAGTATCATTCAGGCTGAAGCAGATTGTACCCAAGCAGTTGATCTCGATAAGAAGGTTACCTATTTGTCCTTCAGTTTGTAGACCTTAAATATGCCTCTTGTCACCATTGCTTTGGGCTTCTCTGCCTCTGAATTCGTATGGAGCATTACTAATTTCTCATTCTGGAAATAATATACGTTAAAGATTTACATTCTGTGCATGGTCATCTCTCCAACTCATTCTTCTGCCTACCAATTCAAGAAGAAGAATAATTAGCTTTCCTTTATCCTTCTGATAGAAATTTGTTTGTGGCTTCTGTATCTCAATTCCTATGAAGTATTAGTAGTTTCCATGCTGTGTATGGTTTATCCTTCCATTATTCATTTGCCCCTAAATTCAGTAGGTGGGCGTGTTATCACTTTTATCTATGTTTCTCTTTTGACAGAACTCTGTTAGTTTTGATTTTTCACTTCCTGATATACTATTGTTATTGGTTTACTTTGTTACTGGTACTTTCTATCCGAAGGTTGATTGCATAAACTTATCCTTCCCTAACAAAGTTAGTACATGCAAGCTTTACGAAATTACATCCACCCGCAACATTAACCACCACTAGAATATGTTCATAGTTGGGGTATTGGACATAAGTTGTCCTTAGGTTCTTTCTATTAAGACCAAAAAACCTTGGGGCACATGTCTTTAATCACCCCCTTCGCAATCTGTATGCGTTTTTCTTGGCAATGCATGCGTTTTCTGTATCCTCTCTCATTGAATTGTTACTGTGTTTTCTACTTTAAGAAATATGTTGATTACCACTGTAGCATATGGAATGATATCTTATGGGTGACTGAAAGTGAAATCATTGTTAAATGAAGGTTGTCTCAGCTTGTACCCTTCTCCCAAGCAATCCTCTCTCGTTAATTGCTAGATAGGAGTTTATTTATTTTTATTATGTTGGATTTTGTACATGAGATGTGCCTCACCTTTACCCTGTGTGCGTGCAGAATGTAAATGCCTATTTGAGAAGGGGAACAGCTCGGGAAATGTTGGGTTACTACAGAGAAGCAATGGAAGGTGAGTTCACCTCCTTTCTTAGTTACTAGATATTTTATTTATGGCTTGTCCGAAACTTATAATATCGTGAGTATACTTGGACTATTTCTGTGCATGTGATGTGATTGGTTTGTAATTTTTTTTTTTTTTTTTTTTTTTTTTNNNNTTTTCTCGTTTGGGTAAATTATCTTTTTTTTTTTATCCATTAGGTCTAAGGCAGTGCAATGTAGTGTGATTTATGTCTTTTTAGCCTTTAGTGAAGTCACCTAATCTAAATTCTGTAGTATCATTTATTCCATTTTGCACAACCGTTATCTTATTATCTTTCTTTTCTGCAGATTTTCGATATGCACTTGTTCTTGAGCCAAATAACACAAGAGCAGCCCAGTCTTTGAACAGGCTGAAGAAGTTATTCCAGTAGTTTTCTGAAGTTATGAAGCATTCACGGAGCTCTCATGTTCATCGAAAAAGGTTTGCCGGCATAAACTCTGCAGCGCTAGTTCTTCCATGGGGCTGGTATCGTCTATACAAATCCACCATAGAATCATTTGGGTTTAGAAATAGAAAGCCTTCGTCGTAGGCTCTTTTTAGTCATGTATGCACCACGCCCTGATAATTAGCTGCAGTTAATAAATTTTTTCTTCAGTCGAGCGAATTTGTCTCCAGCTGAGTCGTGCATATTCTAAACCAGGGCATGCTATTTTGTTCGCATCAGGTATCATTGCCTGCATCTCTCTCTGTATAAATAAATATAAATGCATTGCCTATAGCAAAATCTCTCCATAGATAAATATACATGCAGAATACTTGTTTAAATAAAGTTTTCTTTGTTATCATTTCTTTTGTTATATATTAAAATAGTTATTTTTATTTATTTATTTATTTATTTTACGGTTTTCTGATTTGGCATAAAATATTTCAACTTTCGTTTCTCGAATTGAAATATTTTTATAGGTCACCCAACCACCAACAATTCTAATACGCATTGTGATTGTTGCCTAGTCATATACTCATATGTCTGCAAGGCATCACATCGATTTACATTTTATTCATTAATAATAATAATAATAATCATTCATACTATTAAATATAAACTGTAATTTGGTCATACCATTTTAAATTTGGTTCTTATTTGAATTAATATCACATAATTTTACATTTTCATCTCTCTAAATTTCATCGTATTTGATTACAATGTAGATAAATTTGTTCGGTTAAAACCATTGCCGATGTACAAGTTATTGAATGAACATTGTTGTGTGAATTAAAACAAAGTAATTTGAGAAGGGTTGAAACGCGTTTTTACGAGAGATAAGTGTTTGTGAGTAGATCGATAATGGACTAATCGTATGCATTTATTGCGGTAATTAGTACTCTGCGTGTTATGTGGTGAGATTGTTCTTGGTGTGTACCTTTTATGCATGGGTTTTACAATGTATTATTTGGTGAGATTTTTATTGATGTGTACCTTTATGCATGGATTTACAATTTATAGGAGGTCAAAAAGATAAAAATCATCGTGACACTTGATGAGTTAGAGTGCTTTGACTAAAATATCTTTCGCTTCTTGTAGATAACATTTTATTTTGTTGACAACGCGTCTCTTTTCATCGAGTAGATCTAGATCAACCCTAAAAAAGGTTTCATTTTTTGATTCATCTAATTGTTGGACCCGATATGTTGGTGAGCCGATCGCTACAGGATCATTGCCTCCGATACATAGGCAATTGAAAACGGGGTTTCTCACGTGGCCGATCTGGTGGTCGTACGATAGGGCCAAAGGATTTCGGGTAGCTCTTTCGACCACACTCTTTTAGCCTCTTCGAGTTTCATTTTCGCCCATAGTTAATAATTTTGTTCATAAACTCGACTTGACCATTTGATTAGGAATGAGGTAGAAAAATGATTCTTGATATGTAAACGTTCAAAAAATGATTTGAATTTTTTGTTGCTGGAATTATTTCCCAAATATCTTGACAATAAAATTGGGGACCCCGAATTGACAAATTATGAAATTCCACACAAAGTCGATTATCTTCTGTTCAATAATAGTCAAAAGTGGTTCAAGACCCATTGAATAAAGTATAGACGACGACCGCAACATATGTGACCTCGCCCTTGGCCATTTGCAAGGGCCTATTAGGTCGATCCACACTTCACCAAGGGCTGAATAATGAATTAAGCGTTTGGCTTGGTTGTCTGTGTTGAGGGTGAATAATTGACACTTATTACTTTTTCGAATGAGTTCAAGGGCGTCTTTCTTAAGAGTGAGTCAATAATAGCCTTGTTTTATAATTTGTAAAAATAAGCTTGGCCCCTAGAATGGTTTTCACATATGCCCTCGTGAATTCCTCGCATTACTGTTACTTATTGCACTTCATCGTCGTTAAAGTATTTTAGGAGAGTCAATAAATAGCCCCTTTTATACAAGTTTCCGTCGATTATAGTGAAAGAGCTGCTCTTGTTCGAATTGCTCATGCTTCGGATTGATCCTCAAGTAGCAGATAATTATCTAAATACAATTGAAGCAGAGTCATCTAGTTGTGTTTATCGGCGTTGGTTTCTTCTTTCGCTTACGCTGTAATTTATCTCGAGGGCCGATACGCTCACCGTTCAGCTCGGCATAGTGAGTGATGGACCAGATAAAGTTGGTTTTATACTTGTCTTTAATAAATGAAGTACATTTTTTTTTTACGAGAACAGTCGCCCACCGAGTTTGCTTCCTGTACCTCCACCGCCGCCGACAGGTGCCCATTGGTCGCGATTGGTAGTGCTGAAGAGTGCAGGCACCCTTCCGGCGCCGGGAGGTCGATCTTCACTGTCGTCACTCTCATGGTGGAGCGGTCGCGGATGACGTTTGTCTTCTCTCTGCGGTGACAGCTACAACAACAAAACCTCGGTGACGTCGAACGGATGACAGCGGCGGCACAAGGGGCTGCCGGCAAGAGGAAATCGGCAGACATCAGCGGCGGTGCTCTACAAAATTCACTGGATGTTCAGGCGACGAATGAGACGGTGGCGGTCCGGCGGTGAAACTGAATGTGGTGGCAGATCGAGGTGGCGGCCGACGATTGAGTGGTGTGTGCACTGTGTTGCTGCGTTGCTCTGTGTGTGTGTGTGTGTGTGTTTTGTGTGGGACAGAGAGAGAACGTGGGTGGGGTCTAGGTGTGGTGGGGTGGGCTGAGAGCATCTTTAGTGGGAGGTTTTCATGAGGTTTATAAACTCCCTCCTCAACTTTTGTTACTATATGGGCAAGGTTTAAGGTTTGTGTTTGTACCACCGGTTTTCATTTTCAAACCTCCCCTAAACCTCATTTGTGGGCCCTTTTTATCATTTTTTTTTTGATTTTTTTTTATTCCAATCACGCCTGGATGCAACTTTGTATATATATATATATATATATATATTTTTTTTTTATTATCATTTTTTTTATTCAAGGCATGGTAGTTTTGATATGGTTTTTTTTATATATTTTTTAATGAATTTTAATATTGTGACAATATATATATATATAGAAATAAGAATTATACTCAAAATTTAATTTTCAATATTATGTAAATTTTATGTTTAGTAATTTTTATAAATAAAATTTACATTCGTATGCACCTAACACTACATAATTATAAATAATAAAATATAATTATATGTAACTATATATTTTTTATATGTATTTTTGATAAATATATATAATATTTATATTTAAAGTAAGAGTTATAATTTTAAAATATAAATAAAAATATATGAGTATAATATTAATTAAAAGTAAGTGGGAAACATGTGGGACCCATTAAAAATGAGGTTTATGGAGTTTATTGTTATTAGAGGTTTATGGGTGTAGGAGTAAGGATGAAGTTTTTGATGATGTGGCATATTGGAAAGTGTAAAAGTGAGGTTTATGTAGATTTATGGGGTTTTGTTACTAAAGATGCTCTGAGGGAATAGCTGCATCACATGACCACGTGGCAGGTAGGTATTGGGTGTATGTGAGTGGATGGTTTGTGTAGCCCACATGTTATAATAAAATGTTTAAATAAGTATAAAAATCTGACCTTCTTTTTTGTCATTAAATTATCCGATCTAATGACTACAATTTATTTTCATTTTTTTCACTAAGCACCATTTTCATGTAAATCGAACCATATATATATAAATATATATATTTATATATATCATATCTGATTAAAAATTTATAAACATGTATTATAACATAATAAGTTATACATATAAATTAACATTCATGTAACCCCATTAGGCATATATAAACACTATACATGTAGAGTCCTCCTACCGTCATTTTTTTTTTTAGTTTGATTGATTTCGATTTTTTAATTATATTTTTTTTACGAAACAAAAAGCTTCTACTTAAAATAATTGGAGTTTGCGATATTTAAAATTCTTTGCAAAGTTGGGTTCCTTCCGTTTGCCTTTTATTCTTCCTTTATTTTTCCCAGTTTTTCTAAATGTTAGGAAATTAAATAACAAAATTGCCACTACAAATTGATAAAGTAAGGTTATTTTAGGCATATCATATTTTTACAAAATCACTCGTCCTTTCCTTTTATAATAGTATAGATAGATAGATAGATATAGATAGATATAGATTAAATATCAGTTCGACTTAAAATATGAGCAACAACTATGAAAGACAAAATCAAATCTATACTTATATTAAATGGGATCCTATTTACTAAATATAGTAGTTAGAAAAGTCAAACTTAATTAATAAATTTATAATTTTATCTAGGATTTAATTAATGCATCTAATATTTTGAGTATGCAAATTAAATTAGCATTTAATTAGTTCCTAAAATATTGGGTATGCAATATTAATTTAGGAATATCCATGTAGTTCCTAAAATGTTGGTATGCAACATGTAAAAGAAGATTTTTTTAATTTTTTTAAATATAAAATATTGCAACACGTAAAATTATTTCAGTTATTTTTTTATTTTATTTTACATATAAAATTTAATCAATATTAATGCATCCTACAAAATTGGATTTAGTTTAATTCTCCATACAATTAGTTGTAACTTTTTCAGTTGTACTTTTTTATTTATTTATTTTACACTTTTATATTAATGAAGCTCTCCGAAAAAACCAAATCAAATGATTTATGAAAGTGTTCTTTTTTTTACAATTTTAAATCTATATACCCAGCTAAAAAAACTCATTGCATAAATATGGACGAGTTTAAGAAAATTTCATAACCCAGCTTACAAAATTCCATCTCCATGAGTAAAAAAAAATCAAATTCTCATCTATCGTAACAACTTTAAAAATAAATAAATAAAAGTCTAATTACTACTATAAATCCACTATCTATTTAGATTTTTTTAAAAATATAAATTTCACCTGTCTAATTACTAATATTTTAGATGCTTTTAAATATTATTTGTATAAATTTTTTTACACATTTGCTCGCTCTATATATATACATTTATGGAGGTTAACTTAAGAATTTTTAGACATGTTTTTCTTACGGGTAGTTTAGAAAAATTTAGGTAGTTTCAAACATTATTTGTAAATAATATAGAATATTTTAGATGCTTTTATACATGTTATATAATATTTTAAGTATTTTAAATATTTATATGTTATAAAATATTTTAAGTATTTTAAATATTTATATATCACACTTAGAAAGAATATTTTGTAAAAAAAAAACATTAAATACACATTGTAAATGTTAATAGAAACAGTTTTCAGTGTTCGTATTTGATCTCAATTACAAATAAAATTTCTTTTTATTTGTCACATAATTTTTGGTGTGCATTAATCTCGATTTGTATTTGTAAAGTTGATAGCTTTTGCATTAATTTTAATTTGTATTTGTAAAATTGATAAATTGTTAAGCGTACAATTTTTTTTTATGGTAACAACTTAAAAAAATGATAGTAGTAATAATTTTTGAAATATTGTGTAGTCAAATCTTCATATGGAAGTAACATCATAATTATGGTATCTTATAAATCTTCTCTAAAACAACTTTAGCGTGGATTAATATCTTTATTTAGGCTTACAATATTTTAGATACTTAAACAAAATATTGAGACATATTTTTTTTACATATTCTATCCACAAGTACATATACATATATATATATATATATATATATATATACTCACATATATGTAACATATGTTAAGTTTAATTATTTTAAGATATGTTTTCTTTACAAAATAGTTTAAAAAATCTTACATGCACATCTATACTTATATGAAAAAGCATTCTATTTACTAGAATTAGTAGTAAGAAAAGTCAAAGGTAATTAATGCATTCTATTTTCATCAAGTATTTTATTTAATTATTTTATCTCATAACACATTTTCAGTACAACTTACCATGACATATTTTATTGTGATTAAAAACTTAATTTTACGTTTAAAATATTGTGAAATATTATTATTATTTTTATAAAGCACATATTATTTGTTAAAAAATTGTATATACATATATAATACACATCACAGTACCATGATAGATGATTTAAATTCCAACCGACCAAAATGCCAGTGATTTAAATTTGAACACAACTATGTGTTTGACCAAATGTCTGGATGTTTTGAAATTGAGCCCATAAAAAATTATTTAAATTTGAACACACCAGAAATTTTATGTACTTTTTATTTATAAATATATTGAAAATGGTATTTAATGATTGTTATATAAACTATTTTAACATATTTGCAATGAATAAAAGTTTGAATGAATAATTTGTATGCTATTCATAATGTTTGTGACTTATGAGACACGAACGCATAACTCCATACATATTTGCCAGAGGGCGGCTTAATAATTTTTTAGACTTAACGTTGATTAAAAGAGGTAGAAAATAGATAATAACATTATTACTTTTTAGACTTAAGTAGACAAAGATGCGAAAATAACCCATTTAATATATTTGTCCCGTATATCCCGCGGGGGTTACGTACTAGTGTTGTCTAAATTTTCCATTGAACATGAAATGAAATGTGAGATTAACATTGCTCTTTTTTCTTTTAAAATTTCAATCTCCAAATTAAACAGTGTACATATACATAGCCATAATTAGGTATAAAAGTATCATGATACATCTAATAAATTGTGCCCTACAATTTGCTATATTGTAGTCTTTTTTGTCAAATGGAGACAACCCGTCTATTTCGCAACAACAGTTAAAAACTTAACAAACGTTGCAAAAACGATTCCTATTTATTGCTCCGTCCTTTCTCATTAAACAACACGCTGTCCTGTGTCAATATTTAGACTATTATTTACATTAA